ATACACCTAGTTGTGTATGTTATTGCTCTCCTGCATATTTTTCAATCCAATCAAAATTACAATATGACTTAACCATTTCACTTGAACGCAGCACCCAAACACATCTACTTATACAAAAACACTCCACTTTTGTCTCCAAAAGACCTACATTCATGTTCAGACACTAGCATAAATGGAGAGCTAACAGAATGCATTGCCTCTCTCCAAAACTCTTTGTAGCTTTGACTTCCAACACCATTCAAAATTCCAGCTTCAAAATGTCCACAGAGACTCAAAGAAAATTCTTAGCTGAGAGTTGCCATGAAAATAAAACAAAATAGGGCTGGAAAGGTGGCTCAGTGGTAGAGTACTTGACTTGCATGCATGAGGCCCTGAGTTCAATTCCTCAGCACCACATAAGTAGAAAAAGCTAGAAGTGGGCACTGTGGCTCAAGTGGTAGAGTGATAGTTTGAGCTGAAATGCTGAGGGACCGTGCCCAGGCTGAGTTCAGGCCCCATTACCAACAAAAAAAAGTAAATGTATTTTTTTTAAAAAAAGAAAAACCAATTATATGCCAAGTATAAAGGCACATGCCTTTAATTAAAGCTACTCAGAGTGAAGACAGTAGGATCACAATTCTAGGGAAGCCTGAGTAAAAGCACTAGACCCTATGTGAAAAAAAAAAAAAAACGAGGATGGTCCAGTTTTAAGTGGTAGAGTGTTTACTAGGACAGTATGAAGCTTTGGTCCAATAAAGAAGAGGAAGTGAGGAAGAGAAGAAGAAGAGGAAACAAAGAGGTGGAGTAAGAAGAAGGAAGAAGAGGAAGAGGAAAAAAAGGAAATATAGAAAGAGCAACAATGAGGAGAAAGAAGAGAAAGGAAGAAGAGGAAAAGGTTGACAGAGAGGATGAGGAGCACCATATCTTCAATATATAATAACATGGTGTAAACATTCCTATTCCAAAACAAAAGAATTGGAGAAAAAGGGAAAAAATGGATCAGTAACCCAATTAATTGATCAAGAATTTGATTTGAAATTTCTTAATCGAACAATGTGTAAACAGACAAAAGCATTAGCACCTGTAAAATCACTTATAAAATAGAAATGAGATGTCATTTCATACTCACCAGAATGGGTAAAAGATGTGCATTAGAAGGTTTGACAAGGATGTAAAGAAATTGAAGCTCTCATACATTGTAAAATAGCACATTCATCTTGGAAATTAGTGTAAAAGTTCCTCACAAAGTTAGTTACAAAAATACCAAACAGCCTAGAAACTTTGTACAGCCTAGAAACTTTGTCTATAATTTTTATACACTTAAGTATAAAACAGCAATATTATCCATGACAGCCAAAGAACTGAAAAAAAAATTCACGCTGACCAATAGGAAAACAGTTCACAAAACATTTTATCCTCATGAAATAGCCCATTATCAAGTAAAAAAGAGAAATAGAGAATTGATATTAGTGGAAACACTGACAACAGACTAGATGGAAAGAAACAGACACAAAATAACACATAAAATGATTTGATTTTAATGAAATTTTGAATTATCAAAATCAGGCATGACATTAGTTTCTTTGGGGTTGGAAGTCTAAGGAGAATTCAGAATAGCTGCAGACAGGTATGAGATTTCTTTATGAATGATGAATATTTGAGAATATTCCAAGGTGATGAAGATTGAATACACTTTCAGAATTCAAAGAATCCCTAAATTTTATAGAATTAATTTAACAAATATAACATTGTTCAATTACACATAAAATGATTTTTCAAAGGGATACTAGATCATCTTTAACCAGCAAAAGTGTTCTACCATGAAAGTAGACATATAATATAGCAAAGTGGTAGAAAGCAGGAGCAAGTAAAAAAAAATCAATGCATATGCTACAAAATTAAGAAAAATCAGAGAATAAGTGTTTGGGAGAGATGAATGGAAATGTTAAAAATGGATTAAAGTGATCAAGATGCATTGTATTCACAAACTACTTTAATGAATGGCAGCTCCTTTCTTCAACTATTCAAATAAAATATTTTAAAAACTAGCAAAAAATAATTAATTAAACAAAAATAAATAATGAATAGATAAATAAAATACAATAAAAAAATATAGATCTATAACAATATAGGCCAGAAATTTAAAACACAAACAAGAATAAAGTAGTTTTGTTGGTGCTTCTAGATATATAAGGTAGAAAATTTTGACTACATCTAATTTATTGAGTTCTTTTGTCAATGGCATTAATTATGCCAGTAGTAAAAATAATCATGAAGTTCTGAAATGAGCAACACAGTATCTAGGATATTACTAATTACTAATGCAAAGATAGATGCAAAGAAAGATAATGCAAAGAAAGATGGAATAGTATATGTTTGTATGATTAGATAAAATGTCAGAATGATGTCTGAATGTAACATAGATATCACAGAAATAAACAGTAGAAATTTAAATGTATAAGCCAGGGTATTACAACATGATTACAGCAAGTGATTTATCTTTTTTTTCTGGAAATGAGAGAAAAATAAAAGCAACAGTGCACAGTACAACAGTCAAAAACTACCAAAAGTGGTCAAAGTGACAAATACTACTTTTAATCCTATAATAGGAAGGTGAAGTCACCCTAAAAATCACGTGTGGGAAGATAAACCAAGACTGCACTGAATTCTCTATACTCACATTTATACAGTGAAACATGACCACACAAACATTCTTTTAATAAACTCAGCACCACCTTATGTTTATTAACACCTGCCAATGGTTTTCTAAATTGAAAAACTGGACCAACATCATTGCATTGTTATAGATTAATTTAGTGTTAAATAAATTGGTTTGCAGAGTTTAAGCAAATGGTATGAATTCAACAGTACAGTACCAGAACTGTATACAACATACCATTTTTTAGCTTATTTTTGGAATATGATCTTGTGTTTATGCTTAGGCTTTCCTGGATTGAGATCTTCCTATCAAAGCTTTGTACATAGCTGAGATGACAGACAGATGCCAACTTGACTAGCTATTGGATGAGATGTGATCATTGTTAAGTCTACATGGAACCTACCCCCTACGCCCATCTCCTTCACCAGTCTGAACCCAGTAATCACCTGAATGTCCATCACCTAACTGTGTGTCAGAAAAGGATCCCTGGATCTGAGATTACTTCCTCCAATTCTATTTTCTATTGTGACTTACCCATTTTAATTTTTTTTCTGAAATAGTCCAGGGGCTTAAACTAAGGATCTATGCACTCTCCTGAGCTTTATGTTGGATCAAAAGGCTAATAAACACCATATATGACTAAGCTTATATTAAAATGAAATGGTAAATTAATATATATAAGATAAACTGATAAGAGAACCTACTAATGCTCGTGTGTGTGTGTGTGTGTGTGTGTGTGTGTGTGTGTGTGTGTGTGTGTGTGTTTTATAAGAGCACACTGTTAATACTCTATTCACTATAAACATTAGAAAATTATCTAGGATGATATTTTTAGGGTAGTAAGTTCTGTAGAATCGATGACATAAGCTTCCACATTCCAGGATCTTGAAAGTGTTCTGTTCTTGTTTGTTGAACCATGAGCTTTGAAAGCAAACCCTCCTATATCTGAATTGCCAACAGGGAAGTAGCAGTCTAACACTACATACATATCATTGAATCAGAAGGTAATAGTTTTTTTCATAATCAATAAGATAATTACAGAAGGGATGAACACACAACAATTAAGTATCTAGAGTGAAAGGGAAACAAAAAAGTAAGCTTTTTTTTTTTTGGAGGGGCATCCGGTCGTGAGGCCTGAAATCTGATCCTGGGTGCTGTTCCTCAGCTCTTCAGCTCAAGGCTAGTACCTACCACTTGAGCCATAGCACCACTTACGGCTTTTTGTCTGCTTATGTGGTGCTGAGGAATCAAACCCAGGGCCTCATGCATGCAAGGGAATGCTCTACCACTGAGCCACTTTCCCAGCACCAAAAGTAAGCATTTTTTTAACTCCATATGATAATTTCACAGGGGATGAAAGAACTACAGTTAAGTATCCAAAAAGAGCCATCACAGCTGCACAGCATCCTGTTATATTGTCACAATTGGTATCTCTTGTTAACTTCTCAGTATGCCTAATATATAAATTAAGCTTTGCCATAGTTATTATTGTGAATCTCTTAGCCTACCATAGTATTCTGTTCATTTGTAGACCCCCAAAAGATGACTTACTTCTTCTATTTAAAGACATGCCTTCAGCTTTAGTGTTCAACCATGCATTTTCAGTCTTCTCCATTATTAACAGCTCTTTCTCTGAGTATACGTTTTTTTCCCCCCTTGTTTAGGAAATGATACTGAAAGTTAAAGAATCCAATCTAATAGAAAGTGTAAACACCCCTATGCTCGAGGAGAGAGGTGTTTGTTTTTTTTCCTCCCAGGATGGATAACAGGACCTATTAATAAAAAGGCTGCTCTAGAACTTTGTGTCACTGAAACTAGTACTGCTTTTTTGTTCTAGCTGTTCCTGGGGCTTGAACTTAGGGCATGAGCCCTGTTCTTGCGGGATTTTTTTTCTTCTACCACGTAACCACAACTCCACTTTGGTGGTTAATTGGAGATAAGAGTCGCTTGGATTTTTCTCTTCGTCCTGGCTATGCATTATCCTCAGAACTCAGCCTGCTGAGTAGCAAGGATTACTGGTAAAACAACAGTGCCCACTGCTTTAAGTGTTGTTTTTTATTGTTATTCTGAGCTCCAACTCCTTTCAGGGTGAAAAGTAGTCACTGGGGATTCAGTTTTGCATGGGTTTATTTGTATAGCAATTTTTAAATATTTATTTGCTCTCTTGTTACATTGTTGCTACTTTATCTTATCTTCATTTAGTATTGGTTTCTACATTTTACATTTTATTATTACCAACATATTTCATGAAAAAATGGGATTACTGCACCGAGAAATTCAAATTAGTACAGTATTAGTGGTTTGCCTCATTTGAGAAAGGTTCTCTGCCATAGAGTTCCTAACCCATAGAGAGTCTCTTCACTTAGGACACCAGGCTACCACTGAAAAAATGGGGCCTGACAGGAAATTGGACAGCACCAGTGGGGTATCTCCAGATAAGGGAACTCTTAGCCACATTCCAAAAACTCACACTGCCATCGTCAAGATTAAGAAACACACCAACCCGGCCCAGAGGCTTCTCTACATAGTGAGGCAGCAGTGGGGATGTGGTAAAAATGGTGGAAAGTGTATTCTCTTTCACAAACAAAGGAGGAAAAGATCCTCAGATTCAGTGAGGTTGCTCCCTATGGAGGAATCCCTAATAACTCCCAGGGCCCAGGTGGAAGAGTCATCCACACTAACCTCCCAGTAATGTTTCCCAGAGCTGAAGACTTGGTGTCCAAAAGCAGTAAAGTGGAAGGACTCTTCAGAATTCAAAACTGCATAGGGATTGTCGTGTCCAACACAACTCCCAAGATCTTGATTCTCTGTAGCGTCATTGAAGGCAATCTCCACCCGGTGCTGGGTGAGCCTCTCTATCAGTCCAGGAATGGGAGGGCCACTGAGCTCTGGCCTCAGAGGAAGAGGCAGGAAGAACAAGACTGACTCACAGCTTTCTAGGATCAACTCTACATCCTGAAGCAGTTCCACATCTGGCTTCTGGTATGTTTTGATCAGCTCCTGATACATATTCCTGAGCTGATGCTTCTTCTGAAGCATTTGGGTTTCCCTTTCTCTGAGTTGCAGTAACATGGCTCTTTCTTCATTGATCAGTAGCTGGGAATGGTGTCTTTCCTCCTCCTGGACACCCAGCTCTAAAAACAGCACTCTAAAAACATCCTTAGTTATGCCTCGGGATAGCTTCACATACCAAATCCATCGGTTGATGAGTCTCCTATTCTCCTGTAAATTGTGCTGGTTTTCTTGAGTCTTTTCCCATACAGCATGCATCTGCTTTGAAATCATCTCCCTCTGCTCCTCAGCAGCCGTATCTATGGGATGGTGTTTGTGAGCCCTGTGCTCCTGAGACTGGGAGCAGCTCCTACAGAGCAGGGCCCTGTCTACCTCACAGAACATCTGCTTTGTCTCCCTGTGTGTCCCACACATGTATTCCTCAGAGCTCAGAAAATGCCTGAGGCTGGCTCTTCTGGCAATGGCCACCAGGCTCCTCAGAACCACGTTGGTTTTGAGGTCTCTCTGCTGGCAGGGTCCCCTGCACACAGGGCACCTGGCTGGAATCTGGGTCTCTTCCCAGCTGAGGCAGAGACAAGGTCGACAAAAACTGTGCCCGCACTCTAAGGTGACTGGCTCTATAAAAGTATTTATACAGATGGCACATCTCAATTCCTTCTGGAAGGCCTGGGCAGTGTCAGGGTCCATCATTCCTAGAATCTAATGAGGTGCTGGTGGCTCACCCATAGAAGCCTAGCTACTCAAGAGGTTGAGAGCTAAGGATCAAGCTTTGAAACCGCCTCGGCCACAAAAGTCCCCCTGACACAGATTCTTATCTCCAATTAACCACTCCAAAATCACAAGTAGGCTGTGGCTCAAGTGCTAAAAGCACTAGCTTTGACCACAAAGTGGCCCAGGGACAATGCCCAGTCTTGAGCACAAAGTGACCCAGCAACACTGCCCTACCACTGGGTTCAATCCCTGCAACCGACAAAACAATACCACTACCAACACCACCAAACCAAGGAGAGAAGAATTAAAAGAGGAGTAGATTCTCTCACTCTAATCCTCACCTGGAGTATCCAAGCTCCAAATGGCCTCCAGCCTGCTGATGTAGGATCTTCAGCAATGCCTGAGTCTCAGAATTCCACTCTATTTATACTGAAAGAGGGTGGGCCCAGGAAAGGAAGTCTCTGATTGGTTGCTTAGGGAAGCTGATTTACATATCAATAGGAGTTGGAATTTACATCCTGTCCACCACACCTTTCACTTCCTCTTTCAAGGACCTACTTCTTACAATTTGGTTAGGTTATTTGGGTTAGGTGCAACGTAGGTTTGTCCAGGATTGGAAAAGTTTATTGTGTTTGTTTTATTTTGTTTTGTTTTGTTTTTTAATTCTGTGTATGTTTTATAATGGAACTGTGCGTTTATTACTTTTCCACAGGACTGTAGGCCATATTACTGACATTATCCACTGTATCTTATGGGTCTTCAAAAGTAGCTGAGTTCATATTTCTTAACAGGTTATCATCCTATACTTTTTTTATTTGTAATTTGTCAGGCCTGATGTTGGGCTGGTACTTTACCACTTAAGCCTTGTCCTCTCTGTGTTTGCTTTTGTTTTTGGAATAGAAACTTGTGTTTATTCTTAGACTCTTCTGGACTGAGTTCTTCCAATTCACACTTTGCTCAAAGCTGAGATGACAAGAATTATCTCTTGCTTGAGTTGTGATCAGGATTAAATCTGCCCACAGACTAGCCCCTCCCAGCTTTCCCATCACCTGCCTGAATCATACCAGTAATCACCTGACTGTCGTTGATCACCTGACTATGAGTGAACAAAGATCCTAGGCTCAGAGATCATTTCCTCTTGTCTATTGTCTATACTGACTCATCCTTGCGATGTTGTTGTTCTTGTTGTTTGTCTGTCAGTGCTGGACTTGAACTCAGGGTAGAGGATCTGTCCCTGAGCTCTTCTTCCACTCTATTTCTCTTATCTTTATTTCAAATATCATTTATGCCTTTTTATTATAAAATGATGTGGTATTCTGATATATAATTTAATAACTCAATGCCGTTATTGAGAATGATCTAAAAAATTATCATAGACATAAATATACATATATATACATATATCTATATACATTGACTTTCAAGAGCACATTATTAATATTCAATTTGCTATAAATTTTATCCTATCAGAATATTCTCTTTAGGGTTATAGATTCTGTAGTGTCCCTGTCATAACCTTTCCCATTTGTGGTTTTGTGACTATAATCAATCTTGTACATTTCTTGCTGTTGATCCATTAGCTTTAATAGCATAATCCCCTATCTGAATTGCCAGCAGAGAAATAGTAGCCTAACACTATGTTTGCATCTTTGACTCTCAGGCATTGACTCTCAGTCTTTTTTAAAATTTTTCTTTTTAAAAAAATTTTTGTCATTAGTGCTGCAGAACTCTGGGTCTGTGGGAAACCTCAGCTCTTCAGCTCAAGGTGAGCCCTCTACCACTTAAGCCACAGCACCACTTCCAGCTTTCTAGTGGTTTATTGGAGATGAGTGTCTACGACTTTCCTGCCCGGGCCAGATTTGAACTGAGATCTCAGAGCTGTTTCCTGAGTAGCTAGGATTACAGGGGTGCACCACTGGTGCTGGCTAAGCATTATGTTTTATCTTCATATGATAATGACAGCAGGGATGAATGCACAATAATTGGGTATATAGAGTGAAAAACGGACACCAAGAAAGAACCATCACAACTGGACAGCAAACTGTTGTATTGTTACAATTGTTGACTATTGTTAACCACTCAGTATGCCTAATGGATAATTTGAGCTTTGCCATTGTTATTATTAATCTCTTAGCCTGAATTAATGTTCTCCTCATTTTTACCCCAAAAATTATGACTTATTTATTCTGAAGCCATTCTTTCATCTTTAGTGTTCAACCCTGCATTTTCTTTCTTCTCCATTATTACCAGCTATTTCTCTAACTATTCCAATTTATTTTATTTTATTTTATTTTTAGGAATTAGTATTGAAACTTAAAGAATCCAATCTAATAGAAAGTTTAACACCCCAATGGTCTAGTATAGAGGTGTTTCTGTTTTTTTCTTCCCAGGATCTAGTAATCAAAAGTCTGCTCTAGAACTTTGTGTCACTGAAACCAGTACTGCTTTTTTGTTCTCGAAATTACTGGGGCTTGAAGTTAGGGCATGAGCACTATTTGTGAGGGTTTGTTGTTGTTGTTGTTGTTTTTGCTTTTTTTTTCTTCTACGACTTGGACCACAGCTCCACTTTGGTGGTTAATTGAAGATGAGTCTTTTGGACTTTCCTATATGAACTGGCTATGAACTGCCATCCTTAGCAGCCTGAGTAGCAAGGATTACTGGGAAAACAACAATGCCCACTGAATTAAATGTTTTTTTTTGTTTTGTTTTTTGCTGTTATTCTGAGATCCACCTTCTTTCATGGTGAAAAGCACCTTCTTTCATTGGGGACTGCTTTTTTCATGAGTTTATTTTTATGGCAATTTTTAAATATTTCTGGTGCTGTTGTTGCATTGTTGCTACTTTATCTTACCTTCATTTTTTACATGTTATGTTTTATTATATGTTACCTCCATATTTCATAACAAAATGGGATTACTGTGCATAAAATTCAAATTAGTAAATTATTAATGGTTTGCTTCATTTGAAAAAGGTTCTCTGCTATAGAGTTCCCAACGTATAGAATCTTCACTAATAGTGGTTTATCATTGGAGAAAAAGGGTCTGCCAGGAAGTTGGAAATAGCCAATGGCGTATCTCCGGAGAAGGGAACTCTTAACCACATTCCAAAAACTCACACTGCCATTGTCAAGATAAAGAAACACCACAACCCCAAGAGACTTCTCTATATAATGTGTCAGCAATGGGGAGGTGTTAAAAAAAAAAAGTGTAAAGAAAGTTCCCTTTCACAAAAAGAGGAGGAATAGGCCCTCTGATTCAGGGCAGTGGGCCAAGGAAAGGGTATATACCTGAGTTCTCATTTAGGGAAGTTGATTTACATATCATCTGGAGTTGGAATTTCCATCCTGGAAAACACACCTTTAACTTCCTCTTTCATGGAAATGCCTCTTACAATTTTCTTAGACAGTGACAAGTGTTTATTTTGGCTGGGTGAAAGTTAAATTTGAACAGGATTGGAAAACCGTTTTTTTTTTTCTTACCTTTTTGAATCTTTTATTTTTGTACTATGAATTAATTACTTTTCCACCAGAATGTAGGTGACTTTTTATCTTGTGGTTTTGAAAATTAGCTGAGCTTTCATTGTGGATATATTAGATGATCATCCAAGTTTTTTATTTGTAAATTGTCATGCCTCCTGCTTGTCTGGTGCTTCACCACTTGAGCCATTTCAATCTTTTTATTCTCATTGTACTTCTAATCTCATAAAAAATACTGTATTAATTTTCTATTGGTAATGTAGTTCCCCAATTTTAATTTATGCAAGAATTCTGAACTGATTTAAAAAATGAAGGACATTTTAAAGTAATTCTTTAAAAAGCTATGAATATGGAGCTGTATATAATTCATTACTTTTGATTAATTTTTCACACCTCAGTTGTAGAGTATGCTCAAAGGTGATTTTTACACTAATATTTTTCTTTGAGGAATTTTTTTAGTTAAGAATATTTTAGAGATATTATTGTTAGTTCAGCTATTTTTCTCCTTCATAAGGAATGTGATTTTAAGTTAATACACAGAAAATCTAAGACAGATGATACATTTGGCATTTAGATCAATTTGTGTAATTACTTTTTTATTTAAATACTGAATAGTTGTTTCTGAATTTTCAATTTATTACCTAAGTCAAAGGTATATCATTACACTTGCAGAATCTAATCCACTGTACAAAGTTAAGTAACATATTAGTTTGAATTTTATTTTTTTGTTCAACAATAATATTCAAGAGGTATCATTTCAGTAGGTTTCACTGAAAAATTATTAAGATATACCATATCTACAGATATTTCATAATTCTATATTCTTATTTTTGGATTACATTTCTGTAATCCATGTGTCTGTACTCCAATTGTGTTAGACTTCCAATTATTCATCTCACATCTTTGCTTTGTTCCAGGATTTCAGCATTAATGTTTTCTTGTTTTCCGTGGTTTTTATTATTTTTTCATCTCACTATCACCATTGTAACTTTTTAACATACAAAAAAGAAAATTCACTATTGCCCAGCTCAGCATTCCTTACATTTTCAAAAACCGAGTGACGCTAGTGACATACAACATACATCAAGAAATTACTGATATAATGTATACAATACAGTAATATCAAAATATTGCATAAAAATGTAAAAAATGTAATGTTATGAAATTAAAATACACTATTATTAAACTGTGACATCAAACATTTTCTATTATTATCATAATATAATAATATAAAACCCTGCCATCACTCTCCAACTTCCTTTGTAAAGCATTTACACTTTGTGGAAACCTACATCTGAGCCCCTTTCCTGGTAATGAATGGACTGTTAAATGTCTCTAGAATTTGGGTCAGTTCCCAGAAGCCTCTGGTATGTTTGGCTCCCACCCTGTCTCACTCATTATAATTAGGCCTGAGAGTATGCCACCTGATCCTCTTGCGACAAAGTAAGTTAGAAGACAAGAGCCCCGTTCCCCAGCTGGAAGCCTCCAGGTCTTCATGCAA